ATCGCACTTGATGCGCAGACTTAAAATAAGAGAGGTTCACAGGCATAATACGCACTTGATTGGTTAATCGGGCAGATTGGTTATTGGTAATGGACTAGGAAGTAAAAATCTGAACACCCATTTACAGCGCACTTACCATACGACTCCCACAATTGTTGCCGCTCCAGTGACATTGGTCAAACAATGAATAACAATCTTTGTCTGTAAGGAAACATATTAATTACACCACTATATGCAGATATGCACTATACTGAGAGATTATCGGGAACCGAAGTGGTACTTGTCGACCATAATGTCGGCGTACCTCTGCTCTAGACAAAAATTTCATCACAGCTTGAAAGAGCATCACAAAATTAGTAATATTCCAAAGTTTCGTTGCGTAATGTTGTAAAATGCGGATAATATAGCCATGCGAAGTTTGCCGTTTTTCAGTCATTTTGTATTACGCACGGGAAATTGACAGCCCAATCGGGTGTTGGGGCATCAATTTCCCGTTTGTAATACAAAATGACTGAAAATTGCAAATTTCGCAAGGCTACAGGTGTATATTATCCGCGTTTTACAACATTTCGCAACGAAACTTTGGAATATTACTAATTTTGCGATGCTCTTTCAAGCTGTGATGAAATTTTTGTCTAGATCAAAATTTAGTCTATAATGCAAATGGTCCATTGTATACAATTTCTTTACTTACACAATAATTTCCTTGTGAATCATAAACATGGACCTCACCACTCGTTGTTCCAAACAAGATATTTTTACCATCCGATGACCACTAGATACAGAATTAAAAGTTTTTTGCAGTTCTTTTAAGATTTAAACTGCTTTTCTACATCAATTAACCGGTCAATTAGTGCATGTTATTAGATTAATATGTATGGTTCCCGAAGCAATTTTTAAAAAAATGCACAAGCGAGTTTTTCAAAGATAATAAAAAATTACACAAGTCCGAAGGACGAGTAATCAATCAATCACTTAACTCATTAAACTGAAATTTCCCCAAATTCGCACCACTTTATTTGTATTTTATTTCAGAACCATTCTGAGGGATATGAAAATTAAACTAGTTTAATTTATATTTATTCTGACATTGCAGAGTGCAACCAAAAATTTGTTCTCTTGATCGAGGGGAACCGTTATTTGTTTTTTGTTTTGTGCTTCTTTTATTTCGCTGTGGTTTTCCATTTTTTGCAGTCTGTGGTAACACAGCCACCATGGCAGGCCTCAAATTTCCCTGAAATCAATCGACGGCAATGGCGTTAAAAACCGCCGTAGAACGTTACAGCTGTCTACGGCAATTTTGGCAGTTTCCTCAGCATTTTTTTCAAATTACTGTCAGTAATAAAAATTTAATTTTATCGTTACTTTGGATTCAACATCTGTTGACAAGCTAGAAACATGCATGTTTACGTATTTCTTTAGTGTTTTTTTTTCGAAGAAAACTGAGACTAAAATAGTGATTTACACATGATTTGATCAACATCTGAATTCAAGTATCAAACTAGTAATGCACAGTGAATAGTATAAAAATTGCACTATACGGCAAAAAAATGCCGTCGTTGCCGCAATGATCAACGGCATTTCGGTCTCCCTCTACGGCAATTGCCGCGATAAAATTCAAGCCCTGCAACATGGCCTTCGAATCTATAGCTAAGATCCTGACATGAAGAAGATCATTGTTCTATCATAGCCTGTCTTAGAACTTAACTTAGGCCATGCGTGGTCTATAGAACTACACATTGGCTGGCTATATCATGCTTGGAGGATAATTCAAATGCAAGTTGGACTATTAAATTGGTTCTGAGGTCGATGCTTTGTGTTAATTTTGCTTTAAATTTACCACACAAACTTACCTCAACACTGGAAAGTTGCAACTTAATTTCTTTGCCCCAAATCCTATTCCCATCCACTGAGCCAACTATGACCGCACCTGGACAGTTCATAATATTAAATTAACCGTTCAGTTTCATCATTTTCTGATTATTTCATCTGAATATTTGATATTTGTAAACAATTTAATAAGTTTCTTTTTATATAATTTGCATAAATGTAAAAAGCAATAATTGAAGATAAGAACAGCGCAAATTTCGATTCATCAAACGGTTGTGCATTTAGCACGTACCATCTTCATAAACGATGCATATTTTCTGACCCTCAGCATTCCATTTCATGTCTTTGACAACACTTTTGTTACGATTATTGATCATTTCTTCATACCAAGCTCCTGAATTAAAAAAATTGAGCTGCAGTTTACTTCAAAGAAACATTTAAATAAATGTAGTTTTATCATGATTATTTATAAAAAAAAAAGCACTGCATCTTGATACAATACCATACCTTTATAGAGAATCCATACAATAATGAGCCCATACTGATCACTGCTCGTTAGTTTCTGGTGATAATTGTTCCACGTGACGACTTGAACAGTTCCTAATACGTGCAGACAGTGATGGTGTAGGCTTATAATATTTTCCAGTTACAATCTGACTATTTGTTACTTAATAGTTTGACCTACCCTATTTCAATATGTAAACTAATAAAAGTAAACTGAAAAAATAATAGGGTGGGCAGAAAAAAATAGGGTCGGTCGGGAACCGGAACCACAGGTATTTTTTAAGGCCCTATTAATAAATTATTGATTTCATTTGTAATGTTTACCTGAATGTCCTTCCAAAGTTTGGTTCATTGAAAGATTACTTGGTGCAGCTAAACCCTTCACTTTACTGTTCTTATCTAGAAACACAGTATATAAACAGAAATGAACCACCACAGTGTAGTTGGCAATTGAACCTCTTAGCCTGTGGTTTAAGGTGGGATAAAGCAGTCTAAATAAGGTGGTCTATGGTTGTCTAAGTTGTTCTAAGTTCTAAGGTGGTGCAAGGTGATCTACCATGGGCTAAGATGGCCTAAGGTACGTAGGTTAAGGTGCTGTAAGGTAGTATAACATGAGCAAAGGTGATCATCTAAGGCAGTCTAAGATGGGCTAAGGATGGCAATCTAAAGTGATGTTTTAGGTGGTCTAATGTGGGTCAGTTGGTGTAAGGTGGTATAAGGCAGTCTAATGTGTGTTAGGTGGTCTGGCATAGAAAGATCTAAGGGAGTCTAAGGTGATCTAAGGTGATCTAAGGTGATCTATAAGGTGATCTATAAGGTGATCTATAAGTTGATCTAAGGTGATCTATAAGGTGATCTATAAGGTGATCTATAAGGTGATCTATAAGGTGATCTATAAAGTGATCTATAAGGTGATCTATAAGGTGGTCTATAAGGTGATCTATAAGGTGGTCTAAAGCAGTCAAAGCAGGGTGCAAAATAACAGCTGGAGGGTCGCCAGGCAAGGTGACTGGCCAAATAAATTTTGGCTTGGAGATATCAAATTTGTGATCAGTTTATTATTCAGCTTAATTCTCTAATTTAAGTTTCCGACTTACGTACGTCATGCGCTCTTTAATTAAAACCGTCAATAAATTCAAACATCACCTTGTAGTACTGAATGATTCAACATTTCGACGCCCAATTGACGGCCTACTAATAATTGCCGCTTAGCACCCTTAACATAACTTGATAATGCGAATCTTGTGACATTTGCACTAATAACAGTATGTGCCACATTAATATTTTGTCAAAACTTGATTTTTCTCGACGGCCAACAGTTCAGTTTGGCTTAAAAAAACACGTTAAAAATACTGGTATTTACCGGTATTCTGATGGCAGTATATCGGTATTCTGTATTTGTGATATCGATCCACTCTAACAAATTCCGCATTATGGCCAGACAATGTCTGTTGACCAGCCGTTATTTTGCAACATGCAGGTGGATTGAGGTGCTGGAAGTGTGGCTAAGCATTCACTTGGGTAAGAATTTCACAGTGGCTCATATTACCAAAACCGTGGATGCTGCCTCTCTGTGATCGCGTCATGCTTTCATGTCAAAACAGATGTTCATAGGAATGTAGTTGCATTTCTCAGTGTTTGCCCACGAAAACATGATGCAGTTTTGTGTGTGAGAGGAAGCATCCTCAGTTTTGGTATAAAATACAGTATGTATCGACCTGCAGATTAGCTACCTTGCTGTATTTCAAGTTTCAACAACTTTAACAGACCATCCTCGCCACCACAAGCCACATACCCCTGCCCTGTGTTCCATGACAAACATTGGAGCTTTGTATTATTAGGAATGGCAATCTATAAACAAATAGGCTTTCAAACTCTAAATTCAATTCAACAACTGTGCCTCAAAAATACTCACAAAAACACAGCTTTAATAGTATTTGGCCCACCTTTTTACTGAGATAAATAAACATTTTCAACAGCAATTATCTTTTGGCAAAAGAATGCCGTATTTTAAAAGTTTTTAGCCAGTTTTAGACATTTCACATGAAAGCAATGTTTACCGTCGCCTTGGGAAACGGCGCCATCTTGAAAACAAATTTCCTCAGTTTCGAACGAAATGCGCTTTTTTTGCGGCAAAAAAAACAAAAAGGAGGAAAGAATTTCACATATTTTTTTTACAGTGAGAGCTGTATGAGAGTATATTTCTTCTACATGTCTATTAAATGTAAATATTTAATAATAACATTTATTCTATTTCAAATAAGATCCAAGAAAGAAAATTATTGAAGATTTATAACTGTTTTTCGTTCCTGCGAAATGTTGTCGAAAAATTTGTCGAAATATTTTCCTTCTCCTACCGGTTTGAAATTTCCTTAGTTTATAAAAATTTCCTTCCAAATTTCCTCGCACTTTTCATTGTTTTTATAGAGTTACGATCTAGATTTACACCTCGTTTCTTCGTATTTATTTCTTAAAATTAATATACTTAGTGTTTTTGTCGCTTTGGTTTGTATTTTGAGAAGAAAAACACATTTTCTTGATCCTTCTGACAATATTTCTGAAATGACAAAGTCTAAATTTCCTTGAAAAACTTCATGTCTTTTCGATTTCCGAGCCAGCAATTTTCGGTGTTCCAGCATACTTTGTGTAAACTCGACTTTAATGTCACCGTTTTTGTGATTGCATCATAAACAAATCAACTGGAAAATTTGTAAAAGAAACGCAAATAATGCCGAAAAAATAAACAAATGAATGAGAAATAATACATCCCTGTATGACAGAACATCAGAGGAGTGCTTCTGATGCCAGACGCAGTCTGCGTGATTTATTTCAACATGTTAAATATGAGCATTTAGTTGCTGGCGTATCTGGAGGAGTGAGCGCCACACTTGCACTCCATCCGTTAGATGTCATCAAAGTACGACTTCAAGGTAAAACCGGATCGGTCATGTTTTAAATAGTATTTGCAATAAAAACGTGTTCAGTAAGCTGTAGTTATATGAATATAAAGTCAATCACACTCAACTATGAGTTTGTCACTTTGTCAGGTCCTCGGTCAGGTCTATGATAAAATTGGCCTCACCACCTCGGATTTGGCCCTCATTTCATTGTGATTGGCTGAATTAAGTCAATGCATCCTTCCGGCAAGTACATCCCTTTGACTATACAGCCTCGTTTTTGTGTACGAAAAACAAGGCTCTGTACCTAAGGTGGTCGACATACACGATACATTTTGGAAGCATGTATTGATTCGGCAAAACAGACTATCATGTCCAGACTGCAGAGTACGTCCGTTTTTGCCGAGATCTTGGTGGCGGAAAGCTGAAAAATCTCGGGGTAGGGGCGCAAAAATGTCCCAGGGGCAGCCAGCCTCCCAAACGGCAGTCATTGCTGAAACAAAAAGAAAATGGCTTTAGGCAACCTTTTGGCATTGAAGACTATATTCTAGAACTGTATATTGTGTAAATATACGCAGGAAAATATACATGCTTCTTTAAGGATTCCTAGTACAAGAATGTTACCCATATTGATGGGCGAATATAGTGCATGGAAAATTGTTGCATAATATATTCCGGGGGCGCTAAAATTTGTGACGTAAAAAATCTCGGGGGTGCAATTGCCCTACTCTGCAGTCTGGTATCATGTTACTTTGTCCCTTCGTTGGACCAATGCTCTACCAGTTAAGCTACAACTTGGGCTCAGTAGGTAAAGCGTTGGACTACCTCATATCCAATAAAAGCTTGTGGGGATTGATTGTTTCCCACTATGGTCATTCAAGCATTATCTAAGCCAGACTTCATTCTTTGCAATGTGCCCATTGAGGCGGCCGGGATACAACAGATGTTATTGAAACAACATTGACGACCACACCTACCTAATTGACAACCACACATACCTAATTTTTGCATGCTTACAATTCCAATCTTAAACAGCCAAAATATGAATCTGGTTTGTAGTCACAATCACTATTATAATAAAAATTTAAATCGCTTAATCACACACTTAGGTGACATCTGTAATAATATAGTTGGAAATTTTTTTACTGTTTAATTAAACAAAGGAATGTAATTTCCATGTCATGATGTTATGAGTGCTATTGGGTCATTCCAGAAAACAGCCACACCTCAATCCTCAAATCATTTTTGTTAGCAATGTGCACATAAATGCATGAACATTATGATTGTGATGCTACCATTGCCTGTTTTGGTATACATGTATGCAATTTGTTTCAATAACTTATCCATATAGCACATGACGGAGCTAATGCAGACCCTCATAAATCTTACAATGGATTACGTCATGCATTTAAAAGTATTGTGAGTGAGAGTGGATGGAAGGGGTTGTATCAGGTAGGATTAGCCTGTGATGATATTACACATTGGATATCCAGTCTTTGACTTGTACTGTTGCGGGGGAGAAATCGAGTACTGGCAGTCAATGGGTTTGTCAGACTAGCTAGCTATCTGGCCATCAGCAGTGTCTGCTGTACGGTACTTAACACATTTAGTTGCATTGTGTTTTACTCATGCAGTGGCATTGCCAGCCCGACAATTTAGTCCCACTATGCAAATTCAAAATTATTATTATCATTATTGATTTTTTTCACAGTCAATGAACACAAAAATATTTGCATAGCGGGACTAAATCATCGGGCTGGCTATGCTACTGGTCTTACTTTGTTATTTCAGTCTGCCTAATGCCAGATGATTTTACTCGTCAAGGGGAGAGTGCTGGCACTCGATTGGTTAAATTTCTGTTTTTTCTACAGGGAGCAGTACCGAACATCTGGGGAGCTGGTCTCGCCTGGGGACTGTATTTCTTTGGGTTTGTACACAAAGCTGGATCAAAGATATTGCATGTGCAGTGCAGTATACTAGTACTTGATTTGTTGCCAATTGGTTTTCATACCAAATAACACAAATTGTAATACAGTAACTGACTAAAATGTGCTTGCAGACTGGGCAATAGACCTTTCCCCTTATGAGTGAAATTTTGATCTGGACAAGTCGGGTCAAAAATTTCATCAGTAATATTCCAAAGTTTAGTAATATTCCAAAGTTTTGTTGCGAAATGTTGTAAAATGCGGATAATATAGCCTTGCGAAGTTTGCCGTTTTTCAGTCATTTTGCATTACAAATGGGAAATTGATAATCAGATGATCAAACTGATTATCAATTTCTCATTATTTTGTAATACAAAATGACTGAAAAACGGCAAACTTTGCAGGGCTATATTATCCGCATTTTACAACTTTTCGCAACGAAACGTCGGAATATTACTAATTTTGTGATGCTCTTTCAAGCTGTGATGAAATTTTTGTCCAGGCTTGTCTAGATCAAAATTTTACTCATAAGAGGAAAGGTCTATTGCAGTCTGTGACACCTTGCATGCCAAGTTTAACACTGCCGTAAATCTTAGGATCTACATATAGCCAAAAATGCCCAAAATGGCATACTTTCTAGAAGGGTCTTATGCATTGGCAGCATTGCATGTAAAATTTTATATAATTCATTTCATTAACTACATTTTAATATCAATTTTAGTTTCAATATTTTAAAAGATTATATAAAAGGTGATAAAAGGACCACATTGTCAGCAAAAGAATACTTGACTGTGGGGATGTTAACAGGTTAAACATCTCATTTTGGTTGCATTTTCACAATAAAATGTGTAGTAGAAAATTTCTGAGGTTGTCATAATATTAGTTTGTACTTCCAAGGTATTGGTACTCTGACTGTAACAAATCCAATCTGGGTGTCAAAGACAAGATTGATTGTCCAAACCGAGTCTTCGAATCTCGCTGTGAAATCCACGCAATATAATGGAATGTTGGGTAAGGAATTGCTTACACACTGCAGAGAGAATTACGGCGTTCGAAAACGATCTACAACAAACAACAGTAACAACAAAACAGCAGCAACAACATCAACAGTGTTGCCTTTTTTTGTAATACAAAATACGAAACGGTAACTAAACTAAACTAAAAAAAATGTTCCTTTTCGAAGTTACTGTTGTTTTGTATTTTTTTTAAAATTACTCAGTGATTAATTGTTGCTTTCTTGTACTTTGTACATAGACACGCTTTATAAGACATGGAAGCAAGAGGGTTTGAAAGGCTTGTATAAGGTAATCTTATAGATATTTTTCATATAGCATTGTGTGAACACTAAATTAACAACGTGTATCAATTACAGGGCTATCTCCCAGGATTATTTGGCGTATCCCATGGTGCTTTGCAGTTTATGGCGTACGAAGAATTGAAGAAATTACGTAGTTCGTATTTTGGGACGCCTATTGATAAGAAATTGGTAGGGCATCGGAGTCTTGGTTGATTTTAACGATTAAGTAGTTTCGTATTATTCTGACGCTGAAGAGTGCAGAGTACAAAAGTCGTTTTCTCGAACTCGCATAATGCACCGTTCTACCCATCGAGTAACCGAGTCAACGGGTAGAAGTGGAAAAAGTATGCCTTGGAGTAGAAGTGGAAAAAGTATCGGAACCCGAGAACCTAGTTTTTTAGGATCTACGTTTTTGCAGAAATTCTCACACAAATATTTATATTTGATAGCTAATTCTGAAAATTAGACTGATTGAATATCTAAATTACTAAACACCTGATAACTGAAATGATTCAATACCTAAATTACAGTGGAACAGTTTCATCAAAAAATTAAATATTCATATAGTTGCAATAAAAAACTCGATTTTAATCCTGTAAGACTGAGATTACTTTAGCATTTATCTTGTATGCCTTAGGGGCGGACCATTAGAAAAGTGATGGTGGTGGACTTTTTCAACTTGTACGAATAGTTTTTTTAGTTTTTTTTTGCTTGTGTCGATAATTTTTTTAAATGTAACCCTTGCACGAATTTGTTTTTTATTTCAACTTATAATTTTCCATATTGAAAAGTCTCTGCACGAATTTTTTTTCAAACTTTTTTGGTGCACGAATTTTTTTTTCTTTCTGTTTCCCCTGCTCGATTTTTATTTTTGCTCCCCCCATCACTTTTCTAATGGTCCCCTTTTGGTCACTTTTCTAATGGGTCCCCTTTTGGTCACTTTTCTAATGGTCCCCTTTTTCTAATGGTCTTAAAGACACATTGCTTCACGCGACAACACCATAATAAAACATTATAATTGTGTTATTTTTCCCTATTTATAGCAATCTTTTGCAGAAGATTTTGAGCCCTAAACCCAGTGAAACACGCAATTTGATTGGTCAATAGCCGTGCATGATCAGGCAATCCTGCACGAGGAATTAAAATGCCTTCGCGGGATTCTCAAAATGTTATTGTTTCATATGGTTTTCCAAGCAGGATAGCGTGGTCCATGCACTTGGGATGTTGCTCGACTTTCGGAAAGCGTAAAAATACACTCGCCTGCGGCTAGAGTATTTTTACGCTTTCCGAAAGTCTCGCGACATCCCTCGTGCATGGATCACGCAATCCTGCACGGAAAACCATTCGGTATTCCTTTATTCCACCCCCGCCTTGGAGGCCGCGCAGTGTTTCGATCCTATTTCAGAACCTTGAAAAACTAGTTTCATGTTATTCTTAATATTTCTGAGGAGATCCATTATTCATCTGTTGTGTTTTCTAGAGCTCTGTTGAATATATAATAATGGCAGCGCTGTCTAAGATATTTGCAAGCGGAACTACGTATCCATATCAAGTTGTACGCACACGACTTCAGGTGAGCATGCGCGTTTTGGAAGGTAGAAACCTTTTTATAATATAGCATTTGTAAATTCTGAACGCTGATTGGCTAAAAGCCGTCTTGACATAACTCGACTGGTTTTACTCGTGGAAATTGTGAAAACTCTAAACACATAATTTCTCGTTTTCCCAATTTTCACTCGTGTTGATATAACTGTACAGTATATCAACACAGGAAATGTTTTATATTTGTTAGATATCATTTGATGAAATGAAAACGTCATTATTTGATAATTTTCGAATGTTTTTTTAGTGCAAAATGAAATAATCATTTTCAATTCTTATTAAATTTTATCGTTAACAAATTATAAAAGCAAAAAATTCACTCTACAATTATTATATTAATTCTGGGACTTATTTTTCTTAGGACCAATATAATATTGGACGGTATAACGGAGCAATCGATGTTGTTAAGAAAACGTGGAGGTTCGTTTCGATAAACACAATCATGTGATGTTCTCCAAAATGAGACAAGTAGAAATTGACTATCAGGCTTGAACTACCTACCGTTCAAAGGGTTTCAGAAATTATTGGGGACAGTTCCCCGCCCCCCCCCCCCCTCCCTAGTATCCGCCAATGGGTGGGGCAATGGGGTCATGGGACCCAAACTCACAGAGATAGAGAGAGCCAAAATTTACCAGGAATCGTTTTTGCCAGCACTTAACATTCCAGCTGTTGTAAATTAATGATATGCTTACGGGCCAAAAGCATCTTCTTGGACAGTGCTCGATGGTTAGTTGAAGTTGGCCATTGAACTGAAAAAGACCTGATATATTATTAATGCGTGAATGTTAATTTATAGGTTCGAAGGACCGCTTGGGTTTTACAAAGGCCTGTTCCCCAATCTTCTCAGGTTTGTTACTCATATATGTCTTGAAATGTAATTGTGTTAATCAGCCTTTTGAATGATGGTTTTTAAGGCGCATTACAACCCCTTCAATTGAAAAAAACTAGCTAGGAAAAACAATTAAGCATAATTTAAGATGAGTGAAATCAGTGAACTGAATGTTTTCAACAATAAAAAGGTTTAAAAATGTTAAAAATATTGAGATCACCATCTTGAATTATGCTTAATTCATTTACCTAGTTAGTTTTTTTCAATCATAGGGGTTGTAATGCGCCTTAAAAACCATCATTCAAAAGGCTGAAATGTGCCTTTAAACATTGCATCAACTGTGTTTGTGTTTGCCTTAGTTAAAACTCTATTGTCTTATTTGCTTGTTTTTCTCATAGAGTGACGCCTGCTTGCTGCATAACGTTCGTCGTTTACGAAAACGTCCTTAGCTTTCTTCAAAATAAAAATAAATAGAATAAATTAACTGTATAACCAGAAGTGGCAAAGGATTGCTTACATGAAGGGTTAGCCCCCTGAGCTTTTATTTATAACTGGAGCGAGAACCTCAGATTTGGCTTCAAGAAAAAGATAAGCAGTTTTATATCCAGTTACATTCATTTCACTGACTGAACTGGATGCAATTATAAAAACTTTCAGATGTACAAAATTAATCCTATTCAATATTTAATCCCTTCTTTGTCATATGCTGTACAATTCACTGTCATTCTGACACAATATAAAGTTATTTGAAAACTCTTATCTCGATTCTTATTGGCTTACTCCTATAATCCTTTTTAATCCCACATAAATTTTATAAAACCGAAACAAGTTAATGTAATATGATAAAAAGGCAAGTTTGTCACGGACTTGCCTGGCTTTGCAGTTGTGATGGAGCAGGGCTGCATTTCCCCTATACTTTTTAAAATGTTGTTTCAAATTCAGCTTTTCCCATTTGACAATTTGTATATTTTCTGCCGAGTGCATTACGAATTTCGTTCAGGTCATAAGTGATAAGGAGAATTATAATTATATATACAGTCAAATAGCCATCACACAATTCGTAACGATGTCTTAGTAGTTTATAGTAATGCCTTTTTATTGAAGTGTTCAACAATAAGACTTAACAAAGTTAAGATTTGAAATTGGTCTACACTACAAGTACAAGCAAAAATGAGATTTGTTATTTGTTTACCTTTTTAAAGCCAACTAAATGCCTTACATGGCTATTCCTTTTTTGTCTATAGCGACGTGTTTACACAAAACTAAGCCTTTGTATGACAAGGCAAATTGGTAAAGTCGCGTCTGAGTAGACATTGGACATTATGCACCTAACCAAGATATCAGATGGATTAGTTGAATTATCGAAATCAGATTAAAGTTCTTATATGTGATGAAGTAATAAGGGCCTGGGTGTATTACTTCATATATCAATGGCACGAATAGAGATCTTTCTAGTTTGGGAAAGCAACTGTCGAAATGTTTTGGAAGAACTGAGTTCTTTACCAGGCGAGCTTTTAGATGAAATTAAGCTGCGAATATTCCTTCGCAAAGACACGCCGATTAAAAATCGCCCGCCGACAGCAAAGTGGATTGAATTGTACAATTCCTTTACAACTTCGCCTTACGCTTCGGACACGACCTTATCCGCTTTTTTGATCAAATATTTCAAAGATTTAGCCTACTTGGGCGACGAAATCGAAAACGATACCACTGAGAATGGCTTCGATCCAGTGGAATTTTATTTCGTAGTCGATTCCGACACGGAACGGAAATACGACGAGCTTATCGCGATACTGCACCAAGAAACTGGATCAAAGGTTAAAATGTCTACGATAAACGGACAGGTTGAAGATATTCCGAAGATTTTGGGCTTTCATTTCTGTAAAATTTGCAGCAAAGCTTTCGAAACTGGCAACGAGTTACTGACTCATAACGGAGTAAACCACAATATATTTTGCGACAATAAGCTATGTCGAAGAAGTACTACGCCTTTCAGAAATGAAGAAGAATTAACTTTGCATAAATCGAAGCAAACAAAATGTTTATTATGTAGCACTGATAGTCCTGTTTTCTGCGAACAAAGCGCAAAAGTCCTTCACATGCAAGTGCTTCATGAACAAGATATTACAGAGAGCGTTCTGACATGTGATTTTTGTCCGAAGAAGGCATTTACCAGCGCCGAACAGCGTGATATTCACATGAAAAACACGCATAAGAAATGCAACTGCGGTTGTGGCGTGTACTTCGAAACTCGGGAGGATTATTTGGCACATTTTTACGCCGTTTACCCCTTGGCTTGCTTCGAGAACCGCAAATGCCCGCACAGATTCCAATCCGTGCTCTACCAGGCAGAACATCACTGGACCGTTCATAATTCGGAACATCCATATTACTGCGCGCCGTGTTCCGCGCGCGACGAGAACGGTCTCGCGAAAACGTGTGCTTTCAAAGATGAAAAGGCCCTGAGGAATCATGGTAGCCTTATGAACCACAGCGAGGAAGAAATGTTTTTGATACACGAAACTTCATATAAACCTACAGCAAAGAGTTCTGCAATAAACTACTGTTAGGTTTCAAAGCTGCTGTTTCTGCAACCTCGTTCCCAGGGCCTGCCTTTTTTTGAAAATTCGAACGAGGTTGGCAAGTCTGCCAACAAATTGTCGACAAGTTGTGTTCGTACTGCTTGTCCCAAGTTATCAACAAGTTTGGAACAAGTATTAACAACTTGTAACTGACCTTGTTGATAGTTATATTATTATCAGACGTGTTGCAGGTTGTTCCAACAAGTCCGATACAGTCTACCCTGGATTCCAGAGCCTTCAGTAAATAATAAATTGAAACGTGAAGGCTCTGGTTCAACGGGAGGATTCTTTGATTAAACCGCGCCAATCACAAAACAGAATTAGTGGTTTTAGTACAGATTCTTCATATTTGATCAGAAATTACAAAATCAAAACGATTCAAATTAATAAAATATAAATGTACCTGATTGTTGTTCTTATTTTATAGTCCATCACTGGAGAATTTCCATACTGTGCAAATAATATACTAGAAATTATATTGAAAAGAATAAGAAATTCATTTTTTTATATATGATAAAAAATCGAGTCAATTTACATAAACTTTAGCTTTGATTTTCTCGGCTTAGACACCGTTGATTTTTAAAACTACTTCACCAATGAACTCATAAGGTGGGTCGTTTTAAGGTGGCTCCCTACAGTTTTCTAAAATTTTAAGTATTTTAGGTAACCTTCGTTTTGAACCAAATTTATATTGAACACACTTAAGACAGGGCAATATAATCATTTCCAGGAAAGTTCAGAAGTCTTCTGCTGTCGACATATGAACAAATAGGAACAGTGTTAGTGTTACCATGGCAACCATGACGTTTCATCTTTTGCACTTTTATTGTCTAATTTTACAATCAAATTTTACAATCAATCTTTTTTTTCCTTCGGTCAATTTTTCTGAATTTTTTTTTTAAGATTTATGGTTGAAAGGGGAATGACATATTAAAATTTGAAGGGATGTTTATAAGGCAGGTTTTGAGATATTCATGAATAACGACTACAAAAAATCTGTCTTATAGAATTTCTTGAAATTTTGATATGTTTGGCGAATCGTCATGCTTAGCAAATGTGCAAAGTTTAAAAAATTTTCACCGAAGGAAACGCGAGAAAAATAGCCCTAAATCCAGTTGAAGCTGTTGACGTGACAAAATATCGATTCGACCATAGGCAGCCCAAAACGGCGTGTAGAATGCACCAAATGCTTCCAAATGTCAATTTATATTAAGCTCGCCCCATTCCTCTGTCATTTGTCGCGCGCCGCAAGCACTCAATTGAAAAGCAGTGTTGATTTATATAGATTAGGTATAATCTATATATATCAACACAAATCAACACTGCTTTTCAATTGAGTGCTTGCGGCGCGCGACAAATGACAGAGGAATGGGGCGAGCTTAATATAAATTGACATTTGGAAGCATTTGGTGCATTCTACACGCCGTTTTGGGCTGCCTATGATTCGACATGATCACTATTTGCGTGAGGAACACGAAACGCGTACGGTTTATAGTTGGCTTTTTTAGCAATTTTCTCTTTGAGTTTTTGGCTTATATGTATCACACAGATATTTTTTACTTAGTTTGAAATGAAAATAAAAGATATATATATTCAAAATACAAAACATTGAGAACACAATAACGCACTGACTTAATCCAACGTTTC